AGACACCCGGCCCCCCCCCTTGCACGCTTCTCACCCTGCGTCATGTTGCTCTCGCCCACGCCGGCTCCGTCGGGACCTGCCCGGGATGGTCACAGCATCAGCCAAGCAGCAGCACCGAAACCTCAGCCGTGCCCCCCGCCCGGGCTGGGGGCACCCCATGGCCCCCGGTCCCCGGGGGGGTGGCCACCCTCGCCTACCTGGGTCCATGCAGGCGCGGATGCAGTCCCGCTCGCTGCTGAAGCGGTTGGCGTTGCCCCCGCAGCCCCCGTACCAGAAGCGCTCGCAGGACCCCGTCTCCCACCGGTGGTACCACATCACGGAGAAGCGGGTGCAGGCGCTGCCGGGGTCCTTGTCCAGGGCGCATGGTCCGGGGATGGCCACAGCCCTCCGGCCCTTGCCGGTGTGGGGCACGGCAGGGACCTCGGGGGTCCTGGGAGTGGAAATCAGAGGAAACCCCCCCCCAGTACGTGCCTGGGGAAAAGGACCCCCTCCCCGGGAAGAGGAGGTGCAGCCCCCCAGCCCCCCAGCTCATGTCACGGGGGACTGAAGGACGCTCACTCAGGGCGCAGGGTTCCGGGGGGGGGGCTCGCTGATGCCGGTGCCGGGGAGGGGCAGCTCCCGGGGGCACCCCGGGGTGCTGGGGCGCCGTCTGCTCTCCGCTGCAGAGCAGAAGCCATAGCAGAAGCGTGACGGAGGTGCAGGCAAGGAGGTTTTGGGGATCAAAGCCGCCTACCCCCAGAGCAGTTGGGGACGGGACCTGGAGATGCTCCAGCCCCCTGAGATCTCCCCATCCCGCTCACCCCGCAGCCTCCTGAGAAAGCCCAGCCCCGTTCTCTCCGCGTACTCCATCTCGGGCGGGTGGACCGAGCCCAGGCGCAGGGAGTGGTACCGCGCGGGGGGAGCCCGGCGGGCCCGGCCGCCTCCGGCCGCTCCGTCCCAGCTCGCCCCAGGGAGAGCACCAAGACGCCGAAATCCTCACACTGGGCGAAGGGGGCCAGTGTGTGCCGCGCCTCCCTGTCCCACAGCACCGTGGCCCCCGTTCCCACCATGAAGAGGACACGGAGCCGGCCACTGGAGCTCTGCGGGAAGGTGTGCCGGAGGGTCCACGCCACCGTGCCGCCGGCAGATGCCGCGGCCGCCCTGGGCACCAGCGCGAGGCGGAGGCACTCCTGGAGCTGCTCCCTGGAGCTGGGCAGCCCGAAGGGGACCTCGGCCAAACCCTGCCTGGGGGTGGAGGGGCCTGTCAGCACCAGGGCGATGCGGGTGCCGTTGTGCACCGTATCCAGACCCGCGAGCTGCAGGTGCCCCAGGAGGCGGTGGAAGAGCTTGCCGACAGCCTCCAGCCTCTCTTCCGGCATCCCCAGAGCCGCATTGTCCACCACCAAGGCCAGGTCCACGTCCAGTGGGTCAGGGGACGGCATGGCCACGGCGCAGCCCTCGGGGTGGCAGAGGTCTGGGCACGGGCAGAGATGGAAGCTGAGCCCCAGAGCCGCTGGGCACCCGTCCCCGGTGCCGCCCCGGGGCTCCCTACCGAAGCAGAGGACACAGGGCAGCACCGCATCCCGCAGCACCACCACATCCCCGGCCGGC